TTGGCTTCCCAGATATCCATTTCAGGACAGCAGGAACCGTGATTACCAGTACCAGTGTTGTCATTGTTGCTAGAAGGTTCCCAGCCATCGACGTTGGCCTGGTTCCGGTCAGCATTCAAGCTTTGAGGAGGTTTTCAAGGACTACTTACTTCTCCGTTGATGAACTTTAGGTCTCGCGGACATTGGGAGTCACAGTATCCTGTTCCGTACTTGGCTCCGGCCTTGTTTGCAGGGTACCTTGAGGTGCCACCATCGGCGTCCATTGCAGTGAAGTACAGCGCGCCATTCAATCCACATGGGAGGTTAGACACATCGACGTCGAAAGTGAACTCTGCGTCAAGCAAGTCGAACGTCTGGTATTTCTCGTCACTCGTGTCCATGAGATACACACGCGAGCCAACATTGGAACCAGTGACAAATTTCAGTGTCAATGAATCACCGTCAGTGGTGATACCATAGGTGGACTCGTAGTCTGCTCCGTCCAGGGCGCAGTTGGTCGCACATGTTTCATCGTCAGGGCAGAGAGTTGAATCCCACTGTGATGTGCGTCAGCCAGTGCAGCACATAGATGCCAATCAAACTCACGGTGTTGCCAGTGTAGCAATTGGTGCTACCATCGACAGAATGGGTCCAGCGCCAGTTTGAGTCGATGACAACCGAGCCACTCTGTTCCGTGCAGCTGCCTTCAGAAGTGCACTTCTGCCAGGTCAACGAAGGATGGACTTCCTCCGTGAGCGTTCCGGCTTGCTGGGCACGAACGGCCGTCAGCAGGGCCGAAAAGAGAAGGGCGCGTTGATGCATTGCAATGAGATTGTATAAGACTCGAGTCGTCTCCTTCTTTCAGTGATACTGTTGTCTGTCCGGCAGATGTGATTTCCAAGCTGTACAGCGGGATAACCTCCCCATTTATAACATCCCAGCCAGCATTCGGTCTCATACCCTCTTGTGATCCGGAAGAATAGGGTCTCCCATTTTTGCCGGTGCAGCGGACCGTCAGTCCGTCGATGTTTCAAATTAGGCAAGGCTTTATGTGCCGTGAAATGAAGAACGCACGATAATAGAGTGCTGTGTTGCAGAAAGAGGGCTCTGGGTATTGAGGTGTGTCCGAGAGTGGGCCCAGATTCTATCACCAGGATGGAGTATATCAGGCTGCTTGGCTACCGCTGTGCCTTATTGGTTCATGGAGTTTCAGGGATTCACGGAGGGCCCTCCGAGTTGTTTCTGTTCCCTGCTTGTAATTAAGCACTGGGGTCTTCCAATGAAGGCTGTCTATGTCATGTGTGGCCCATCCAAAGCCATGCATGTAGAGAGAATCTGCCTCACAGGCCAACTTAGTGAAGCTCTGCGATAGCCAGGTTTTGGAGCCCTTTGCTCGGGTGCAGGAGCCTTGCCCGAGGCGATGCTCTAGGGTATCTTGCAAAGTATTATACCCAATACTAGCAAATGGCAGCGATCGTGCAGTTCACTCTGATGCTAATTTTCTTCTCCGATACTTAGAGTATCTTCAAATCAAAAACCCTGTAATCAATTAGCCGCGTCGATTAACAAAGGTCATTCGCAGTCCCATTTGGGAAATACGGAGACAACGGCGTCCCATGTAGCCGCTGAGTTAATGAAGATGTGGCAGCGTGTGGCGTTGTTTGGGTAACAGCCAACTCCGATTCATCTCAAATCCTGATGAAGGATTGATTAATTTCCAGGGTCCCTCTTTTAGCCTTGTCGATCTCGGAATGCGGGGTGCTACATCCCATCAATGACAGCTCGAGTGGGTGCCAAAATGATTCGGATTCATGCAGGTGGCTAGGCTGAAATTGATCTATCCAAGCCGGAAATAGTAGACTTGGATGGGGTTATCAACGTCAAACCAAGAAATATTTTTGGTCTTTGCTCCCGGTAGAGCCCGCCTTACCGTCTTCAGACAGGGCGGTTAGCATCTCCGACTGATTAATGTTTCACCACAATTATTTTATATCGAATTTCCATTTGTTCATAACGTAAGGTGTTTTCCCAGGCGCCATCATCCTTTCATTTGCCTGGTTTCGTACCTAAACGGGGTAATACTGAGCCGAGTCACCTGTAAATCGAACCACTGTAGTGAGCTCACACACAGACATCCGACAAAGCCGACGGAAGCCACGATATGGCGCTGTACCTTGCAGATCGCTTCCCGATTACGTTCGGAGGCGTGCAAGCCAACAAGATCCAACGGTTGCTATTTAGCCGGCTTGAATTTGAGGAGGGCGCGGAGTGATTCTCCGCGACATACATGGCGTAGATGCCAAGAATAGTATCCTCTTTGGATTGATCATGCAGCGACTGCCTTGACATTTAAACCTATAACAGGGGTCTTGCTACTCAGACAAGGCCTTTGTCTGCATAGTATGAGTAAAGTGACATATAATGTCGGTTGAGGAGTATCTCCGCTAGCCACAAGAAGATTTCGTGTTTCTGTTCCGGCAGGTATACAATGCCCTCGGTGTGCATATCGGATATCGAGAGTTTTAGTACTCTGTCAAGTTCAGAATAATCGATAGTACCTAGTATAGTAGTGTGGTGGTTGAGCAGACTGCCATGACAATGTTTCAATGAAGCAAGTAGAAATATATACTAGTACCGTTTTGCTCAAAACTACTTACCAGCCGTACAAAATTCCCTAGCAGACAAAACTCGCATGTTCCACTGTCCGTTATTGTGCCATGTGGTAGACAGGTCAAGATCATGGAAAACGAAGGTGAGGGATATGATTAATCTAAACTAACTAGTTAACTAACTAGGAAGAGGACACAATGGTATTTCCTGTGATGCCTAACTAGTCATGAGCCTCGGCAATTTCTTATCAACCGCTTATCGCTTATCGGATGACTTTTCCCAACTGGAGATGGTGCATCCTCAGGCCAACCGCCCAACGTCGCCGGTCGCTTCCCCCTCGTTCGTCTGTTTCACCGGTCAGGATTAATCTGGCTTGCATCCATTTACTTTCTTCCGCGTTTCTCGTGTAGACTAAAGAGCATACAATAAACAGTCACAATAGACGATAGAACATGGCATGGTACAGCCAGACTATCGAATCCTTCTCCGATTCGCTGGGGACCAGCCGAAGCCAACTTCCCCTGCTCGCCGTCACAGGGGCCTCGTTCACCTTGGGCCTCTTGTTTCGATCACTGCTTTCAGACCCACAACAGGAGAGCACAGTGCTTGAGTCTCCGCGCAAGCAAGTCCTGTCCGTGTCCGATTCAGTGAACCGTGAGCTTCCGCTGCCCACGGACGTACTCCCGGGAGCCCGGGATGTCTCTACGCCGTATGGATCTATCCGTGTGTATGAATGGGGCCCAGAAGATGGACCTAAGGTTCTCCTAGTTCACGGGATAACCACTCCGTGTATTGCACTTGGGGGTCTGGCCCATGCCTTGGTTGACCGGGGCTGCCGGGTCATGCTGTTTGACCTGTAGGTGACCCGCCTTACGATGATGAGGAATGATCACTAACAGGCCTGAATAGGTTCGGCAGAGGCTACTCTGACTGCCCGTCTGACATTCCACAGGACAACAGACTGTTCGCCACCCAAATCCTTCTCGCTTTAAGCTCATCGTCACTGTCTTGGACTGGAGCCGGCTCCGGTAGATTCTGCCTCGTGGGTTACTCACTGGGTGGTGGCATAGCTGCTTCTTTTGCAGCATATTTCCCTCAGTTTCTCTCTTCGCTGGTGCTTCTTGCTCCCGCAGGCTTGATCCGTGACTCCCAGATCAGCTTCCAGTCACGTCTCCTCTACTCCCGCGGTCTTGTTCCGGAACGTGTGCTTGGCTTCCTGGTTGGACGCCGCCTCCGCGCAGGCCCGCTGACGACCCCGAAGTCGAAGACCCGTAAGCTTACCGCTGAGGATGCGCTCGCCGAGGAGCTGCCAACACAGGGTGCGGCACAAGTCCAGCGGCTATCTCGGACGTACTCTCATGTCAATGTTCCCAGTGCTGTCCAATGGCAAGTGGGTGAGCATGCTGGGTTCGTGCATGCTTTCATGTCCAGTATGCGACATGGACCGATTCTGCAGCAACGCCAGCGCGAGACTTGGGAACGTCTTGGAAGATACCTATCGACACAAAAGGACCTCCCGATCGAGGAACAGCGTTTAAATGGTCTCCCGAGTGATAAGGTACTCATCATGTGCGGGGACCATGATACTGTCATCGTCAAGAATGAGCTTGTCCCTGATGCAACGTCGGCACTTCAAGGGCATGCAAGCTTCAAATTCTTCAACGCAGGCCACGAGTTCCCAAGTACCAAATATGAAGAAGTGGCCCAATATGTGATGGAATTAATGCACTGAGGACCCTGCAAGGAATCATCCTACAATGCTGATCATTCACTTGATTTACTATCTTTATAGACATTTTTGAAGTGGGGTTTTTTGTTAGACTTTTTTTTCTAGATTGTTGCTTCCCATCTTTCTCATGTTGGCCCACATTGCCATTTCCATATAGAGCAAATGCCTAGTTTTATCCAGCGATAATTTAGATGCCACATAACTTTACGTTTACTTGGTTATTGACACACTTCAGTATGTTGAATCATGCAATATCTGTGCGATAAATTGGATAAAATGAGTGATTAAAACATAGGAGACTGGGTATCTGCATTGTCAAGGATAGACGGCGGCGCGTGTTACGCCGCCAGCTGGTATCTATAGGACCTCTATATCAACTTTCCCTTCCTCTTTCCGGTCCAGCGTTGGAGCAAGTGGCTCCTGTTTGGGCATAGCGCCTGCCTGGCCAAACTGGTCGTTTTGTCTTCGTCGTCCTCCATTTCCACCTTCAACTTCCGCCTGCCCGTTTCCCCGCAACCCAGGCAGCATATCGTCTGCTTCCCAGTCTCCTCAAAGCGACTCGCAAAATAGGTCGTCTCTCATAGCGCTTTTATTCTTTCGCGTTTGTATTTTGCCTTTTCTTTCCTTTTTCTTTTTTTTTTTTTTTTTTTTTTTTTTTTTTTTTTTGATTTTAGATAATTGGTTCAAGTTCTGTTCTGTCGCGTCGAGCTGGCTTGAGAGACGCGACACATGATCAGAGCGTTCTCCCATTCGTGCCCGGGCATAGTAAGGTGCTTCCGCCGCGGACGACTGCGAAAAGCGTTCCATGCTGCCGCTGCTGCCATCCGGGATGTGACTCAGGTTTCCTGCACTGAGGCTGCTGCCCATGCCGTTGGCGGACCTGCAAGTGTGTGAGTATCAACAGGATCTGAAGAGGTGAAAGGTAGAAGCTTACTTGGAGGTATGAGCGTTTCCAGACATGATTGATGAAGTTTGGATAATAGTCCCGTGAACTCAGAGGAAGAGCTTGTGTGGAAAGATTTTGAGAGAGTTTGGACAGACGATCGTGCGTGATGGACTTTGATTGGGTATGAAGAGACAAGTCTCTTGGACGCAGATGGAAAACTTGAGTGGATGAGAAGGCTTGTTTGGCTTTGGATTCGTTGGTGAGTTCTGACCAAACGGCGAGGAGAGACCTGTCCCTATATACCTTTCAACGGCCCCGGATATATTCCAAGCCTCGCTGTTGCTGACGACTGAAACCGAGAATGTGATACAAGAATAAGTAGATGCCTTGGGAGCACCCAAAAAAAAGCTGGACTGCCACAGACGAGGAGGGAAACGATGAGATTGGAAAATCCGAAAAAGGGTCCGGAGTGTGAAGGGAAATGGTAGGAAGAAGCCAGTAAGTGACACAGGCAGATAAAGATCTTCGGTGGGATAGTGCCTCGGAGTAGTGTATCTCTGACTAACTAGGCTACTTTCAAGGAACGGTTGGGCTGTCTAGTCAAGATCAGCCACTGATCGAGATGAGACTCTGCCCTGCAAGTTCGGATAGCTGCACATCCTCGATCTAGGGTTTGCCGAGAATCAGCCCATTGACCCGATAGACGAATTTAGTCACATTCACCCCAATCCCTAGAAAATTGGAGGCGATGATTGCCAGGGTAAGCACTAGGGTGAAATGTGTGACCCAAGGCCCGGTTCATGAACCATTGGAGACAGTAAGGACATTCTGGGGAACCCATGAACGATCATCAGCATGGCCTACATCGGGCACATGAGCCGAGAAACACCATAACCGGTCATTCGGTATGCGTCTTGGGTCTAAAGTCCACTACCAAACCAAACTGGTCATAGCGGATGTTCAACGGCAGTCGTCATCGGATAGGGGCTTTGAGGGCTGAAACGCCCAAATCAGCTTGCTCTGCCCACGATTGAAAGCTTGCCAGAAATCTAGACCACTGCCCCCGATCCCCCTTTGGCCGCCAGCCTACTCCCTTTTCGCACTCGCGCTATGTCATGGTCAAGACCCATCCTTTCTCGGAAAAGAGATGGGGGGGAGTGAGCAGCCAAACGAAGAAAGGATCGAAGGCAGACCGTTTGAAGGATCGCCTGAGACCTCACCGATGTGGACAAAACGTGGTCGATCCCATCCAAGCGATCACGCACTGCCCCAGGGGATAGACGGGCTTTGGGCTTCGTTTTCTCTAACCCACGCTTCTGCATCTCGATAATTCCTTTTGCTTTTCAGGTTCCTTGGTTCTTACTGTATTCAGCTAGGATTGGCGACACTATCCACTAACGGTTTCTGCGGTCTCCGAAGAATCAACGGCATTATTGCATTCAGTGGCAGTCACTACGAAAGCTGCAGGTGACAATGTCATCTTTCAACAGCATACAAAACTCCAAGTTGGGCAGCAAAGGCCATGATGAACTGGCTATGGAAAGCCTCACCCCATTCCTTCAACCATTATTACAATACGAGAGCAGTCCTCGCTCCATCAAAGGACGTTAACATCGGTTTTGCTGTTTCCCTTCGCCCTGTCGACAAAAGTCCAAAATTAGCAGAGCTTCAACAGGGATTATTGAACAACCCCCGATCTTTATCCGGAGGCGTTCACATACCTGCTTGTCACAGCCCGCCGGCACTGCTGACCTCGGTCAGCTTGATTGAGGGGTTGTCCCTTTAATCAAACGATCAACTATGTACTTGCTGAAAAGGAGCATGCTAAGCCAAGCCTCGTTCTCCTTAAAAGATTGCTGCTGGCCAGTGCTCTGTCAGATTTGCTTTTTCCTGGCCTTCAGACCAGTCAAAAAAGGGGATATCCACGCCCGCGCGATAAGAAATGAGGATGCGCCCCCCAAAAGCAATTGTCGCTTTCTAAATTTGGCCTGGTCAATCACGGATCGTGATGGCACTACCGTAAATAATGGCAAACTACGGAGTAGCGGCGAAAGTACCCTGCGTCAATCCACGGACCTAATCATTCCTATTTGGCAACTAACGTTAGATTCGCCGAGTTGGTGTAAGTCCGGCTGCCTCCTTCGCATGGCTTACCAGAACGCCGGGTCCGTTGCACAAGCTAAAGTGACTATGAACGGCTAACGGAGCAATGGAGGAGTGAACGGCGGTTGGCCATCTCAGGGATCCTCGGAGAAAGCATTCCGAAAAGGGGCTTCTCCAGAGGTCTCACTCACAAAGCGTTGCGCTATTGTCTCCTACTATCTACAGACAACGCCGACTGATGCCGTTCTGATTTATTTTTCGCTCCCCCCGAATATGCCAGCGCCCTTGCGGGCTCGGGCTTCTCCGCTGGCAGATTATGACCCAGAAACGGTCAGTCTCCACGCCATTCCGCGGGGGACGGTATCCATCAGGAAACACCTCCAGTGCTATTGATTCACACGGCCTGAAAACGGACCTGCATTCCGGGTAATGCGAGTTCAACCGGGCTCGGCCGCGAGACTGGGTGAGGATACGAATTTATTGAAGAGCCGAGTAAATAATACTGTCAATAATTTTTTACTTTTCTTTTCCCCTGGTCGCGGACACGGGTTGGTTGGTTTCACTGCGCGCCTGCAAGGCACACTTGGTCCAAGCTCCTAGCTCCAGCAACCTTATCTTTCACATCGCTGCTTCTATTCGGTAAGAAAGCCGGTGCGCAAACCCGCATGGACCACCCTTGGCTGGCTGTCCGGCATGGATAGCAGGTACTCACTAGAGCTAACCGAGTCCAAGGATGGCTTCATTTGCTTCATTCAAAGATCCATGGCCTCGTCCAACACCAGCCCTTTTCGAAAAGTAAGTGACAAGGTTATAAAACCACGAACAAAAAGCAAAGAAATAAGAGATTAATCAAACCGGACCAGCCAAGCATGCCTTTCCGCGTGGACTGGCTGGTCAGAGCTGCCATGTCTCGAACCGAGCCGAACTATGGCAGCGGCCGAGCCTTAAAATTACGGGACCAGAAGAAGAGAGATTCGTAGGAATCCAAGCTAACTGCGCCCTTGACCTAGTGTCTTGCGCAGGCTGTGAGATCTGGTGTTCGCAGCCAAAGCGGCAAAGATCTTCGCCGCAACTGCACGTCGCTGATCCTCCCTTCAGCTGAAGCCTAAGGCATAGTGTGATGAAACTATGAAACAAGTTGACGGAAATTCCGGGGAATTGAGAGTTCCCTCCCCTATGTTACCCCCTGTTCTTCGGCGTAACTCTTTTCCCTGTACAGCCCCTTCCGGCCGCCACAAAATTAGCATGACAAGCAGTCGTCATTCACGCGCAGGACAGCTGAAACACCCGCCAGAAGTTAGTTACGTCAACTAGCAGGATTGCAGGAACGAGGTGACGCTAGCAGCTGATGAGGCCTTCATCGGAAATGTGAATGGCGGTGGTCCGGCGTTCTCCGTCATTCAGTTGGCATTCGTCAACAAGCCAAGGACCGTTGCTTTTTCTCTCTCCCTTTTTTTCGAGGTATGCTCGGGCATGGACGACCTCGGCAGGGATCCGCGTCAAATCCTCCTCACCGAGCGATACGTCCAAACTAGGACCCTTTACGCAGGAGCTCTTCGGAAGCTACGGGTCCCCTGACTAGTTCTCAGGTACCATAAAACTAGTAGTCTCTGAGCGTTACACGGAAGCGACATACACCCTTTCGGCCTTCGGGATTTGCTACAAATTCGTATTGCTCCCGTCAAATCCCTGGATTATGTCGCTAAGCAAGGTATGCTCGGCCGGAGTGCTACACGAGGCTGGGCCTTTGGATGTCGGCTCAAGCCGCAACACGGAATGAGTCATTTGCGTTTATACATGCGCGTAAGTGCATTGCCATGATATGGCGTTGGCGTGTCTCTATCATGCACGCATGGCTCCAGGATATGTGACAAATGTTGGTACGAACAGGTTCATATCAGTCTACTATATTCGCCAAGGCCCAAAACAGCCGAGACTGAGGAAAGACGTTTGATGCCAGAAAGTTGAAACATTGCTGTTGCCCAATATTTGGTAAGGCAACAAAGTCTGCGACGGAGGACTAGTGTTTGCCATCGACTGCGACTAAATGTGCGGTCAGAATCTAAGTACGAGGTCGGTTCTGTGGTCCTTCAGTAGTGGGATCTTGAAACCCGCTAATACGATGTGAAAATGCGTCTGCTATGGCTGCTTTCAGCAAACTAGACGAGCACATATCGTCGAGAAAGCTCATCTCTGCATAGCAGGTGGGACACTGATGGTCCTTGCTTGTGCACCAAGCGTTACGAGCTGATTCAAGTTAGCACGAGCTTGGGTATTGGTTGCCATTATTGCCGCTAATGTGATTATAATTGTAGTCCTGTGATGATATTCAAGATGTGCTGCTTGGGAGGAGGGTTACTGATAGTGAACAAGCCAACTGAGGCCTGTAGGTCTTGAGGGAGTACAAAATGTGTGGTTGAGAAGCGCTTATCCCTCCAGGTGATGCACAGCTCATGCGTGGAGATCTGGCGTGTGATCATGCTGCTGAAGTGGAACTGTCTAGGGTTCGACGCAGCTGATAGCTGAAACATCGCCTGAACGAAGCGAGGAGTGCAGCGGACGCCTGCATGAACCAGCAGAATGACCAGATGTGATGAAGTGGAACAGCAGGAAGAGCACCAAGGCCAATAGCAGTAACAGAAGACCAGCTGACAAGGAAAACGGCATAGCAATCGGCTAAGAACACGGCACATGGAAGCTTAAGCCTTCGCTTCCGGGTGATCCCTGCGTAAAGTGGATATACTATACACCTGTTCGTGATCCTCGTGGGGAACCCAACATGGTGGCTTATACGAGGATCATGTTCATCACAAGAGTATTCTTTTTTGTCTCAATTGCGCTTCTTGCATAGGATCTTCGTAGACAGCATGATCTAGTAAGTTGGCCAGCAATAGCCTCTAACATTGCATATATTTGCAACCACAGAATCTATAGACTGAAATATGCCGCGATCAGCCTTATGGTTCCCATTATCTGGGTTAACTATCCCGAGGCTACCAAATCCACATGGCAATAACGGCAGCATCCCACCGCCAGACCCGAGCAAGGCCAAGGCAACCGAAGGCAATCAGCGAGGGATGGACGTGGCGTCGAGGCGTTGAGATCTACACTTACATCTCCGAGGCGAGTGGCAGCAGCAACGTCACCTCTGTGGCGCGGTTAATGACGGGGTGAAAACAAGAATATGCATGTTGTCACATCTATCCTTGTTCTATGGAAGAGGGCCGTATCTTTGCAGCGGTTGGTCTGTTTCTCGGACACTCTCCGGTATCTGCAGTGCTGAACCTCGTCTCGAAACAGGTTTCGCAGCAGTGCGGGATATTCTGACTCGCTCGATGTCAGGTAGCGTGGACAAACACGATGCAATGCACACCTTGGCATGGAAAGCGCAGTCCCACGCAGTGAAGCGAAAGTATGTCCCAGCTGTGGAGACTTGATCACCTCGTAATGCAGAGGTCAAGCGACGCAAGGACGGATCATGCTGTGCGGGATGTACACGCGAGGTGGGTGTTCTTGCGGAAGATGGGGTTGGAAGATCTTGGCTGATAGATATTACCTGTTCATGTGCTGAGATTATGACCAGCAGTGATTACGTATTGCTACTAAGTATGGATATCTGCGTGCATTCCATGGCGCAGCCGTGACAGATACTTGTTTTACACTACAGGTGATGGATGCGAGATATCTCAAATCTGTGCAGTGAGTCTGCTTGAAGCAGGTTGTAGTCATCAGACAATCTTTTCGTAGGTGTGTGATAGAATATCTTCGTTCTAATTGAAGACATTGTAGAATTTGACATGGTGTATGCAGTCGTAGATCATGTCTACTACTAAGTATAGTTATTTGGGTCAAGTCCACGTAAGCCTGCATCTCTCTGTATTAAGCGAGATTGCATGGTCATTATGATAGTCGAAGAGGTACAGAGACAATAATGACCAGAGGTTAATCAAGCTTACTTTCATTAGATGAGTAGACACTGCCTGCTATACTCCATCATCATCAAGTGTACACCAGCTCCTACCTCCATAACTATCCCAACTACTTTGATATCCTACAGTCCCAAAATAATCAATATAGATATGATGCCATGCTAATAACATCCTAATATCATAGAAAGTTACTCAACCCCCAACACCCCCTTAACACCCAACAACCCCGTCCCCTGCACACACCCCCAATACTCGCCCAAGAAATCCCCATCCCTCAAAACCGCCGTCTCAACCCACAACTTCAGCCCCCCTCCAAACAGCACACCTCCAGGCCCATACGCCTCCATAAACGCCTTCCTAAGCTTAACATGTTCCGCACTCTTCCTTCCCAACGTCTCCATATACTGCAAATCCACAAAGTAAAGCAACTGTACATCCCGCCCAAGCGTCAACGGATACCTCCTCCTCCTCCTCTGCCCCTCCTCAGCAGTAGTAGAATTAGAGGTAGGGATAGTACTCTCCACAGAAGGATTATAACATCCCCTAGAGGAAACCACACCCCCCGATAATCCCGCACTCAGCACCTGGCCCACCCACTCCTGGGACAGGGAATCGAAGTGTTCAGCCCAGTAGGTACGTTCCTCTGCAGATGCAGCAGAGTGATCTTGTCCTTCGACGACGAAGCAGATGTTATCGGGGATGTGAGTGATGGTTTGTTTCCCTGGGAGGATCTTCCCTCCTTCTTGTATATCAGTCTTGCTTTCAGCAATAACAGCACTGATATCCTCCTTAGTAATCTTCGATTTAATACTCTTCTCCCCAATCCGATCCGGATAACACCCCCAATAGCCCGATAACTCGGGCTTGAGATCTATCGACCCCAGGTGCATACATCCCGAGGGGACGGGGTGGTTCGTGGCGCCTTGAATGCGGGAGGGTTGGATGGTTAGGGTTTCGTGGTAGATTCCTGCTGGTGCTGCTTCTGGAGAATCATTGTTGTTGAGGGAGGAGAAGAAAGCGGAGACGGCTGGGGAGGTAAGCCATTTTTGGTAGTTTTCTGTGCTCCAGTAGGTTAAGTGGATGGTACTATTGGTGGTATGGTGCTGGTGGAGGGTTTCTGTATGGGCGCAGAGAGAGTCGGATAGAGCGGAGGCGAAGAGTGAGGTCAGAGTAGTGGTGAGGCTGGGAGGGGTGTGTGGGTTGGTGCCGGTTATGGTGATGGTGATGGGGGTGTTGGGGGGGAGGGAGGCGAGGAACATTTTCTCTTTAGTAGTAGTATCTTTTGGTTCTTTTGGGGGTGAGTAAGTTGGTGGTGAGGTGTGGTGTTAATGGAGAGGTGCCGGTTGTGGTGGCGATATTCAGTTTATATATGTTCAGCAGTAATCAGGCTGTTTCAGCCCCCTCAGTGAACCAAGACATGGAGGGGTTAGTAGCTGTCTAGTGCTCACTGAGGATCTCTTTTATCCAACTGTCATCCACGATTATCTCTTAGTCGTCTTCCTCCAGACCCATTGTATCACTACTTTCCGTCCAATCCCGTCGCTGCAAATGTCATGGATGGGCCCTTCTCCCGTGGTTGACTGGCTCGTTTTGCACTGCCGTCATCCAAACTATTCACGATTAGACGGGCACTGGTTGATAGGTGAGGGCTTGAGGAGGTATTAGTAGTTGCTAACAGAGAGAATTGTTGGCAATGTTGTGGAAAATATTGACAGTATAGGAAAGAATCTATGTCCGCTACATCTCTCTCCCCAAATGTATGTACAAGAATGAGACATCCACAATACAACCTCCATCTACAGAGTACTTCTATGTCTATACACCATCTACACCCCTTTTATTACCCATCTCCCCCCTACTTGGCCAGGTTCGGGCACTCGCCCTGCGCCCGTTGAAACGCACCCGCGAACAGATCCTGCATCGCGCAATAGTGGAACAGGATCCCTCCCAGGACAGCCAGATGCCAGATGTTGTGACTGCCACCAACATAATCGAACAATCCAGGCCGCCAGCGCTCCGGCACCTGCGACGCATACACACATGCTCCCACGAAGTACACCATGATGCTCTTCACCACGGGTGCGTAGAAATACAAGCACCAGGCGAGTCCACGCGTGTACGTCAGCTGGGCCAACGGCGCGAATCCCGTCAGCGCTAGCGATACGTAAAAGGCCACGCGCGCCCATGCCATATCCGCCCGGTTGAAGGTCGGGTGCCACGGCAGGATCACTCCTCCAATGCCCAGCGACATGGTCAGCAGGATATAAGTCCACCGTGAGACCGGCTCGCAGTAGAAAGCCGTGTACTCGGTCGTCACGATCGAGGCTGCCACCAGCATCGAAATACCCGTGTAGTCCACACAGGCAAACCGCTCCATCAGCGTCTGGCTGGCGATGCTGTTCATCGTGTGCCACAGTGTGCTGCAGACCAGGCACTTACACGCCGCGAAGAAGAAGACGGCCGCCACGAGAATGTCCGTTCGCGAGCTGAGGTGGAAGTTGGGATTCAGCGGGTAGAAGTAAAAGGCCACCGACAGGACGATGAAAAGCCCAATCAGGTGGGACCAGATGTTGAACGTCTCATTCGAAGGGGTGAACACCGAAGTCAAGCATTCCACCTTGGAGTGTGTGAACCGATACCCCTGCAGGATATGCGGGTTCACCCGCCACGGGTGCGGGAGATCCGCATACGTGATCAACCGTTGCTCCTGGGCCAGCAGGATAGCTCGGTCGATGCTCTCCCGCAGCGCGTCTTTCGCCCGTCGTGCCCGTTCCATACCCTCGTCGACCACCTCACGGGCGTGCACCAGCTTCGAGTCCATCGCCTTCCAGCCATCATCTAGAGTGCCGTAGAGCCCCCGGTCGCGGACCGCATGGGCGCGGGACTCCAGCTCGACCAGAAACGACTCCATCAGTCGGACTCCCGCCTGGGCCTTTTGTTCGAGCGTCTCCTTTGTTGCGAGAGCATCCATGTAGCGGTCCTCCAGCGTCTCGACCAGGATTTTGGCCCGCTTTTTCCCACCACCCATCAGCTCCCCGGAGGCGTAGGAGCAAGAATCTCGCACGGCTTCCAAGGTGGCGTATCCACGGCGGAGACTGGCGTCGATCTGATCCATGTGGGACTTGCGGTATTGTTCGAGCCAGTGGAGGCGTCGTTCGAGTTCGGCCAGGAAGAGCTCCACCTACGGAGAGGTCAGTCAGGGACAGTATTGATGGTGGAGCCAAGGATGCAGCGTACCCGTAGGAAAACAGCATCCGCATCGTAGTCGCAGGACAACTTGCGAGCCGTATGAAAGGAGTGTCTGCGACGGCGATCTCTCAGGAGGCCGGTGTCTTCTCCGGGAGTGGCATAGGCGGAGGCCACCGCGGCCTCCGGATAAGACTCAATGGTGACAGATTGAGATGAGCAGGCCATGGCGTACAGTGACAGTTAAACCACAGCGTAGAAGTCAATTCCACATATCCTGGAGAGGGTGCAAGAGTTAGTGGTGGTTGGGCAGACAGCGAAAGGATGTTGTTTGGGTGGGGAAGATCGGGAGAACCGGGCGGAGAAAACGAGTACCAAAATACGTACAAGAAGAGAAAACTAATAAATATGCAAGGAGAGGAGAGGATGGAGAAATTAAGGAGAGACGAAAGAGAGGAGAGGGCAATCCAACAGCAGCCAGTACAGTTAGAAAGGGCGAGGTTGAAAGGAGAAGTCAGAAAGAGGAGAAGGAGAAGAACTAAAGAAAGAGGAAGAGGAGAGAGAGAGAGAATCCGATGAAGTGGGGAGGATCCAAAAGATTAGTTCCGGCTGCTTCGTCTCCGAATCATCGACCACTCACTGAACTGGCGCTTGAAACGGCCTTTTTCATTTCCGCTTGGTCTTTCAACCTCATTGAGTCTACGCGCCATTCTTCTTCATCCCAACCTTTCAGTGGCTACTGTCATAAGCCCTACCTTATCGTTCAGCCCATCAGCGACCGCAGCTGCTCCACGTTGGCGTTGATTTCCTTGCCACCAGCCACCTCCGAACCAACAAACAGTCGACTCTTTTCCACTAAATTATCCTTCTATCGTCTCCGCCTTTCCGTCGGATTTATCCATCCTGTGACAACCCGCCATGGCCATCCGGGATATCGTCGCCAATCCCTCGCTGCTGCCCGTGCTCGGGCTCAGCGCCGAGACTCGCGATCAATGCATGAAACTGTTGGCCGTCCTCGACCCCACGGCTGATCTGTCCGATGACCCCCAAGAGCGTGCTCTGGCAGCCTCTCGCGAGCAGAAACAATTGTTTGCTCTTCTGGCTCGTCTGCGGGGGCAGAACCGGGATGCGATCGTGCGGGTGCGCGAGACCAAGCAGTCCACTGCAGAGGCCCGCCAGGAGATTGACCGTCTCCATCTTCAGCTTCAGAACCTGTATTATGAACAGCGACATTTGACAGGCGAGATTGCCGCCTGCGAGTCCTACGAGTAGGTGGTCTTCAATGACAATATATGGTGGGGGAGATGCTAACCAGGATAGTCACAAATATCGCTCCCTCCCCTTGATCCCTCTCGAAGAGTTTCTGGCTCTGCATCCCGAGCACCAGCAGTCTGATGAACACGAATTGATGATCGCTCGCATCAACCACGAACACGCAGAACGAGAGAAGCTGGAACAGGCACGACAGGAGCTGTTGAAGCGCAAGCAAGCATTGATTGCGGAGAACAACAAGCGCAAGGAGGACTTGGCCAGCTTGGATCAGGATCTGGAGCGGTTTATTGACGTAGGTTACACAGTGTTCCTGTCTGCTGGACTTTACTAACGAGCGTAGGCGGCCAAACCGATCCAGAAGTTATTCGAGAAGGAGTATTAGTGGGATTGTCTTGTTGTTTTGGGATGGCGCATTGGTTAGATACCCCAAGTGAATTTGCAGGATAGATAATATGGAATTATTGGTATGCTGTTAGACTGTTTCCTGTGTCTAGGTATAATCGTAGTGATGGTTAGCAGAATTAAGAGGATCGGCCAACTGGCGGGGCCACTCCGCCTTGGCTGCCGCATCTCAACTCCATCTCCAATCCATCTCCGACTCTCCATCCACCACTCCCTCTCAAGCATGTGGCCATGACGGCCAAGAATGATCCCCAGACGTCTCCCCAGACTGTCTCCGACCACACAATGACAACCACAATCCCCACGCCGCGTCTGCCGCCGCCCGAGAAGCCCGAGGCCATCCGCACCCGCTTCAAGGTCATTGCGGCCTTCTGGGCTGTGATCATCTTCCTGGGCTTTCCCATCTGGTGGAAGACCACCTCGATCTATCGCGCTTCTCTGCCGGTCCCGGACATGATTGATTGGGCTGATGGAAAGGTAATCTCACCTCTCTATTGCTCACAACCTCGCTAACCAAACACCAACTCCAGACCTGTCGTCCTGTCTTCCCCCTCGAGATCCGCGTCGAGACCCCCTCCCTGCCCGACGTCGACGCTCAGAATCTCCTCCGCTCTACGCAGCATACCCTCGACGACCTCAATGAGTTCTCCGCACACCACCTGCGACTGAAGCTCTCCAACGAGGACCCCGATCAGCCCCCCGCCGACGACGCCGCGGACACCGCATTGACCGTCCGTCTGCTGCCCCAGGACGACCTCGCCAGCCCTCGAGCAGCTCTCCACCATGATACCACTCAGCTCGACGTCTTCTATTCTCCCAGCCAGATCCCGCCCCCGTCGGCGTCCAACTCGCCCCTATCCACATTCATCGCAGACGAGCTCCAGCTCCTCTTCGCCGAGGAGAAGGCCATCATCGCCCAGGTACTCTCCGACAACAACATCCCCGGCGCACCCACTTCCCCGGACCTCGCAGAGAGCGTCACTCGCCGTCTCCGCCGCTCCATGAAATACGCCGACACCTACCACCTCGCATTCAGTCTCTTCACCCCCGGCGCATCCCCTTCCTCCTGGGACATCCAAGCTGCCGTGCACGACTACATCACTCCAGTCCTCGACGCCTTCTCCCCGATCAGCAACTTCACCGTCGACACCCAAGTCCAGCTCTACGCAACCTCCTCCCCAACCGCACCACCCCCCGAATACGACGAAACCCACTCCGCCTGGACCCTCAAGAAGGACGACCTCAGCGCCTTCATCAACGCCGCCGAATGGCCCCTCAGCCCCAGCATCGGCCCCGGCCCAACCATCAACTTCATCCTCTACATCCCCTCCCCCTCACAATCCCCCCTCGTCGTCAAGGACAGCCTCGCAACCAGCTGGATCATCCCCCAATGGGGCGGCGTCTTCCTCCTCAACCCCCCTAACCATCCAACTCACCTCACCAAAGAAACCCTCGGCCCAGCCTTCATGACCTTCTCCCACCAACTCCTCACCCTCCTCGGCGCCCCCTCCACCCCTCCGCCTCTTCCTCTCCGTCTTCAGACCCTCGCCCGCGTCCGCGCGGCCTCTCTCCTCCTCTCCGCTTCCTCAACCATGGGCTCCCTCGCCCGTCTCACCGAATCCCTCCCCCAGATCCCTATCCCCGCTACAGTGGCTACCTCCGTATCTACTACGCTCTCTCATCTTTCTTCCGCGTGCCACCATCTCCGCCACGGCCAGTTCCAGGCCGCCCTGGCAAGTGCCCGTGTCGCGGAGGCCGAGGCCGAGCGCAGCTTCTTCGAGAAGAGTATGGTTGGCCAGATGTATTTCCCCGATGAGCATAAGGTGGCGGTGTATTTGCCGCTGCTGGGGCCCGTGGGGGTACCACTTATTGTGGGTCTACTGAAGGAGGTGAAGAAGGTAGTGAGTGCTTGGAAGGAGAGGAGGAGGAGGTGAACGTGATTACCCTGGTTTAGTGGGTTTGTTTGCTTTCGTGTATGTATAGTATATTACATTTTTAGATTCATTGCATGATATTTATTGCAGAAGTTCAAATATAGGTAACTAACTAGCTATAAGGTATCTCAAAGACTTCTTAAGAACATACTGAATACAATGTACCACCTCATTACTTTATCAAACCACATAAATCACATAATCACGACGCATCTCGAATCATGTAAGAAAGAAACAAAGTATTATATCACTTCTCCATATCATCAAACGTCCCCTCCGTTCTTATATGCGTTGGATACGGTTCTGGTTTCAACACACCCGTTGTAGCAAACACCCCCGGCGGCGTATATACCCTAATGCTTTCCGTACGGGCCAGTGTCTTCTTCGATGGCGTCCGCCCAGGCTGCAACGGCGTCACGGAGATAGGTAACGGAGGAACAGGCACCGGTACACGAGCGTGCATCGCTCCACCGCCGTGCTCTGGGACGAGGGTCTTTGCGGGATTGGCCTTCGGTAGGGGAGGAGCATTGTTGGGGTTGAAGAGACTCCGGACTCGGGTCCCGGTGCGTTGGATGCGTGAGCGAGCGCCTTCGGAGTATCGCTTTGTGTTGCGGTTACGGCGGAGGAGGAAGTCTGTTCGGTAGGAGGTTTCGTCGGAGGGAATTGGGGAGGAGATGCCGATGAGTGTGCCTTTTGAGGAGCGGCGGGTAAATTGGGCTACTTTGGCTGAGGGGGGTTGGTGTTTCTGCTGGTGCTTGCGGTAGAGGAAGAGGGCTAGAAGGGCTAGGACGGCGCCGAAGATGGCCCCGGGGAAGAAGCCTGCTATGATGGCGTTGGTGGGGTAGGATGGGCAGGAGGTTTTGGAGGATAGTGCGGCTGCTGAGGAGGTGCCGTTGGTGCTGCTGCTGTTGTTGTCAGAGATGGCGGTCTTGGAGGAGCCAGTCGTGACGGGGACGATGGTGGGATTCGAGGCATCGGTTGTAGAGGCGGAGGTTGTGAAGGAAGTGATGGTTCCTGTGGAAGATGTGGTCCCTGTCGTGGATGTTGTGGATGACTGGCTGGCGCTGAGGGTGGATGCACTCGATGTGTTCATGGCACAGAGCGAGTCCCCTGTGCAGGTGTAGCCAAAGGGACAGCATTTGTCGCCACATTTGGGGAGGGAGTCGTCTAGCCGCGTTGTCTTAACAGAGTTCTTCGGATGTGCTGTTGCATTCTGGAGCTGCACATCGCAGGTTATTGTTTCGATGTAGTCACAGCTCTGTCCGCTGGGACAGCAGATAGCAGAGCTGGAGTCGTCCAGGCTGATGCATGTTGACGAGCTAGAGCAGCAGAAATCATCCGGCAACTTGCTGTCTGCACACTTGTTATAGTTGCTTGGACACGAGTCGGAGCTTCGTAGCAGTAAGCCAAAGGCCTGCGTTGGCGATACCGTCGAAGCAATGAGGGCGAAGAGCAGTATCATGGAGGGCCGTCTCATGAGGGAACAAAGCTGTGGCCTTGTCATTGCGATTTGACTCTAATCCAATACAATAGATAGATGAGATGAAGAAAATCAAATATAGGCTTGCGTAGACTTTGGCTAAGCAAGGAACGCTGTCTATGAAAGAAAGTATGAGACAAGAACTTTGCAACAGTGTCAGTGAGTGAAAGAAAGGATGAAAGAACAATGAGCGACTTACAGAGGCATTTGCCATCGACTCCCAACAAAGACCCAGGAAGCGCCCATCCTAATCACCCAGCGCTACCTGCTGCCCGACATTCTGCAGCATCATGATACAAACATCCACAGCTGCAGGCGCCGAGTCTCAGAATAGCACAGCGGATGGGGCGCATGGTTCGAGGGCTAATGAGGGTGGTTGAGATAGGCGCCGGGAGGAGCCACGGGAAGGAGACGATCAACGACAGGCCATGGTATTCGAACCCCGACCAGAGCTCCTGCAGAGCCCGGCGCGTAGAGCAGGTTGAGCGATGAAGAAGCCAGACGAAGAAGATCATGATGGCTGAAATGCTGCCGAAGTAAATCGCAGCATTTTGATTGGCCGAGCTGGCGCCCGCTTACCTAACCAGCGCTAGGCCCGAAAGAGGTGGGTTCTGAAGCCGAACGGGAAATTCTGCGGTGGTCCTGAAATCAACCGCTTGTTGCTCGTCATCTTGTCGCCTGTCCAATCCCCCATCATCATGTTGAACCGCCTCTTCCGGCCGCAGTCCGCGCTGCGTGCTGCCTCCGCCTTCTCCCAGGTGAGCTGACCCCATCCCAATGCCCGGGGTGGGCTCATAGCTAACCAACCTGACCTCCGCCAGAAGCCCGTCTCCGCGCTCCCACGCTTTCAGATCCGGAGCCTGCACCGCGTGCCCCAATTAACCAACGACCAGTACTTCAAGAACAATGGCATTCCGGAGCTGCTATCGCCCGAGGCGTTCGACTTCGCCTGGACGCAATACCAGGGTCTGCTCATTGACAAGCTGAACCTGATGACGCAGGGTTAGTTTCCTTGCAGTGCAGCTCAAACTCCGCTGGTATGAAACTGACACCATCTTCCTTCCACTGCAACAGACACCGTCGACGCCGACGCAAAGCCCGGAGAACTGCTGGTCAAGTACTCCCGCCGACCGGAGATGGCGTCCGTGTTCAACTATGCCTCGATGGCCCACAACAACCACTTCTTCTTCAACTGCCTGGTGAGTGTCCCAAGGTCGAGTTGTGTCCATCCCAGCTTCTAACACACCTGTGCCAGTCCCCCCAACAAACTCAGATCCCCGAAAAGTTCGCCAAAGACATCGTCGACACCTGCTCCTCGATCGAATCCCTGAAACTCGATTTCCTGGCCACCGCCAACGCCATGTTCGGCCCCGGTTTCGTCTGGCTGGCCAAGAACCTCGAGCGGGAGGGTCTGATGCACATCTTCTGCACGTATAACGCTGGCTCGCCCTACCCGGCGGCTCATGCGCGGAGGCAACCGGTCGATATGGCGACACACTCGCCGGACGCGCCGCTGGGCAACCAGTACGCTGGCGCGATGGGTGCGCACGCGGCTAACCAGAAGAACATGGCGCCGGGTGCTCTGGACGTCCAGCCTATTCTGTGTGTGAACACATGGGAGCATGTGTGGATGATGGACTACGGCATTGGTGGTAAGGCGGAGTACTTGGAGCGCTGGTGGGATCGGATTAACTGGGAGGTGGTGTTCGACAATTACAATGCGGTTGGGCCGGTTAAGGGCAATGCGGCTAATGCTGGACGGAACTTGAGCATGCTGTGATTTATTCTCTCTTCCGGTCATTTCTTTTTTGTTCATGTGATAAACTGTATTATACAATGTGTAGCTTCTATTTCATATTCTATGTATGCACTGATGTGTATCATATCCCTTCCCTTTCCCTCCACAACAATATTATAATACATCCTGTCCACCTCATGCATCAATAATAGATCCACAAAAGAATAGAAAGAAAGCTCAAGCTCTTCCCAACACATCATAAATCCTCTTCTCAAACGCCTCGACCATAACACCAGCCATCTGTCCCTCCACAGCGCCCATCATAGCAGCATGCAGCTGACTGCGGAACTCAAACCGAATATCCAGCTTCACCACCGTCCCCTTACCCTCACCCTGACTCTCCAACTCCCACCGTGTACTCAAGTACTCAAAGAGCCCCTCATCTTCACCTGGAAACCCTTGTCCGTCTTTCTTGCCCACGCCGTACTTGGCGCCGCTTTGCGCCTCCACGACCCAGTTCTCCGCGTCGCAGGTCACCTTGGAGGTAAAGGTCTCGCTGAGGGGCCCGTAGCCGACGGTGAGGAAGGCGCGGGTCGGGTAGTTGGTTGTTGGGTCACGGTGGGTGACGGTCGAGGCGGTTAGGAAGGGGAGGAAGGAGGAGTAGGATTCGACGGAGGAGATGATATCGAAGAGAGGCGCGGGAGCGTGTGGGAGCGTTCGGGTCGCGGTGAGGTGGCGGGTTTTGGAGGCGGAGTCGGAGTTGGGGAGAAAGGAGGAGAGGAAGGGGCGTTTTTGGATTGTTGGTTGAGAGAGTGAGGTGGTCGAAGAGATTGAGGTTCTTGATCTGGTGATTCGTAGGTTGTTGGTCTTATTTGTTGAGTGATGAGAGAGGTGGTTGGAGAAGGCTGATGTGGAGAGGGAGCGATGCGCTGCTCGTGGGAGGGAGACCCGGTTGTAGAGGCTGCGTGGTATCGGTGGTCGCATCATTGTGGATGTGTAGTGTGTAGTGCAACGTGGTGGTGGAATTTGAGTATATCAGTGGTTGGTCTGGGTAGAGGGTAGAATGGTGGTTCAACTTTGGGTGGACTTTTTGTCGGCTTCCGAGCGGATCTCCGCCCCCGAGCTTATCTCGGGTTCCTCCCGGTTGACACTTCCGCTGTGGTTTACTACGATCCTTCCCTTTCTATATGTTTACAGCTTCTGATATATTATCCCCCCATAACCCCGCATCCGTGTTGGCGGCACATTGCATCTGCTGATCCCAGAGATTCTACGCCTGTTAGCTAGTTTCAAATTTTAGTTGCAGCGGCTCACTTACCCAGTCGAGATTGGTTGGCGCATCGAGCATCTCTCCGATAACATCCAGTGACTGATACTCTGGGGTAATGCCCATTGGATCCACTCCAACTGAGTATGGCTGGCCATTCCAACTTCCGTATAGTGGTGGTTGTGCTGCACTCATTAGCAATGTATTTCGGATTATCCCGTGCCACTTACCGGAAGTCAGTTGTTGGCTTTCCTGTTGCTGGAAATTAATTCGCCGCAGCATGATTGTCAGTGCCACATATGCTTTCTGTGCATCTGCCGATCGTCTACGCTGCTGCTCAAATATTCGATGTGACGTTTTAATGGTCGCTAGCAGTTCCTCCCGGCTCCGGATGACTGCCGCTACGTCCTCGTCCGTGCTTCCCCTCGGTGTGCCGGTAGGGTTCTGCGACAGATCCAGACAGATGATCATCGCGGCAAGCAAATAGTCTGCGGTCTGAAGTGAGTTCGGGAATTGTCGGTCGCGGTAAAGAAGTCCACCCGGCTGAGTCTCGTGGTAGATATCCGCCTGGTGACGGAGGATCTCCTTGGAAGCACTCATGCAAACCTGACGCGAGTAGGCATAGCGGGGATTGGTATGCACCTCGCCCAGGTAGCGCCGGTGCAGCACACAGCGAGCCTTCTGGTACAAAAGTTCCAATGTGTATCGTCTCAGGATCAGGTATGATGAATCCACGAAGCACTGGTCAAGTGGGCGTATCTTGAATGCAGTGGGCACAAGGTCCCGAGCTTCCTCCAGCTGCCAGTCCAGGGCCAGTATGTCATCGTATGTCATAGGATCGCGCGAGTACGCTAAATCAGAGATCTTCCCAAATACGGCCATAAGTCGTGACTTTCCGCGGATATATGCAGTTGTACTGAGTTCAGTCTCAGGTCGAGATGGCGGCAGTTCGACGGTAGACTCCTCGAACTCCTCATCAGAGATGTTACGCGGTAGCTCCACGTCCTGCTGCCAGTCCTGTATACCCCGCGGGACCCCAACCTGGAACGAGATCAAAACATCCAGTTGACGCATGATAGCCCAGACCCGCCGCCTCATCTCGCCTTCGTATGGTGAGATATTCGGAAAGTGTTGCGGATCCCGGTGGTACCCTGAACGCATAGCAAGTCGAATTGCCATGTTCAGCAGAAAAGATACTCCGACTTGGGCATCCTCGCTGCGGAAGAATTCGCACATTGTGTAGAAAAACAGGGCCTCCACTTTGAAACGCCCCGGAACGGTGTAGTTCGACTGAACTAGACACTGCGCGGTCAATTGCCTGAGACGCTGAACGGCTTCATCTGCTTCCCCGAATTCTGCCGGTAGCGGCTCTCCGGTGCGCATATACACGGACATTGTTATTGTGAGAACTGCGTACAGCAGTGCCAGCCAAGAGATAGAAGCTTCCTTTGGTCTTTGCCAGAATTGGTTATACTGCGCGCGTCAGCAGCATCCTTTGTATCTCCCACTCGATTGAACTAGCATACCTGTTTCTGGAAAGTAGGAAAGTGCACCATCACTAATCCCATCAGCATCACCTATCAAGGATCGATACAACAGCGACACCTACCTGTGGTCGGCTCATTAAGGCCGACAAACATAGCCACGACGCGATCCACGACCGGCCGAGCCGGCAACCCGTCCAACAGCTCGTCCATGGTCATTTCCTGGTGCAGCCCAAGTAATAGCGTTGGCGCACTCGACGGCCTTACCATCTCCTCGTCTTCCCCTTCCTCATCAGACAACCCCAACTCCTCATTCTCCCTTAGATACTCCTTGACTCCACTAATCTGCACGACATCAGCCTCACCCAACTCACTCCACATATCAGAAAGGACGGCCTTACTTCCTCGAGAATCGCACTCCAATGCGCCCCATCAATATACCTCATGCCCGTCTCCCTAACCACCAACCTCCCGGGATCAGGAGGCGGAGTATCCGAATCTCCGTCCTGTGCTTGCTGTACCTCCCCAAATGCCAATGACGGTTGCACCGACGATGCCGGCGTAATCTGACCACCATTATTAATCACCTGTTGGTGTTCACCCACACTATTCGACCTCTCCTGCTGCTGCTGTTGTTGTTGCTGCTGCGTAAACGACAGAATCAGATTCTCCAGGTGCTGCAACCGATCCTGTACTTGCGTCGGGCTGGTCCGTCCATTACTCGAGGTCTTGCCGCGCGGGCCGCGCCCGATGAAGGTGCAAGTGCCGGCTTCGTTGCGCTTCAGGCAGTTTGTGCAGGGGTGCGTGCGGCAGCACTTTAACCTATTGCATGAATTATGATTATTGGTATGCGTTCTTTTATAGAGTAATAGGTGTTGATGGTTGGAGGTAGAGGGAGGAATGTGGGATTGGAGGGGTTGCCGCTTGCTTACTTGCGGGCTCGGCAGGCTGTGCATGAGAGTTGCACGCGGGTGCGTTTCTTTTCCATAACCGTTTGATTCCTGTATATGTCGATGAATAGTGGAGTATATAGTGGGGCTACTATGTACCAAGTATAAGGGGGGATGTGTGGAGCGTGGGGTAGTTGTGGTAAATAGATAGTGAATGTGAAGTTGAGTTCGAGTGTAATTGAAGTGGAATGGAGGCTGCCGCGATGGCGATAAGGATGGGGGTGGAGTGGTTATCTCCGGAGCTAAGACCGAACCCTACTTTGGGGTGGAGTGGAGCAGACAAGTTGTGAAGTCAAGTTTCGGTACTTGTTTAGAAGAGTAGTACGTACAGTATATATTCTAGGGTCCGTCATTTGTATCCTCGTGTAACATCATCTGCACATAGCTATAGTAATCACAGTATACCCCTCGCAGCAGCGAAACAGATCAAATATCTACACAACCACTCTACTATATCTACTGAATCTCCGCCTTCATTGCAACCACCTCCCCCGGCGCAACAATCTGCACCCTCCCAACTCCATCCCCTCCATCCTCCAACACAATCCGATACTCATCCTCCGCATACAGTGGGCTCGTGGCCCTGTACGAGATCTTCTCCGGAAGAACCAACTCCCCACCTTCATTCTTCCTCGTATCGCGCCACAGATCCAGAATCGAAATGAGATTCAACGGCCCATGCACAACAATATCCTTATGTCCCTCGACATCTCTCGCCCACGGCGTCGAATAATGGATCTTGTGCGGGTTGAACGTCAACGCCGAGAACCGGAACAATGTCACTGCCGTTTGGCGCAGCGTGCGCGTGTGCACATTGTCACTCGTCTGGGTAGACGAACTAGCCGGGCCGTTGAATGCCTTCGTCGCTGGAGGGGTAGATGAAGCCGTAGGCGACGGCGAGGTTAGAGCTTTGCGGAAGACCCAGTTCCTGTATACATCCTTATCAGCACCATCCCCAACCTCACTAGAGACCATTCCCACTCACCTCCTATCCAAAACCGCCACCCCATCCTCATTCCGAAACTCCTTCTCAACCCCCACAACAATCATCTCCTCCCCTGTCTTCCTCACAACCTTCGGCTCCGCACTCAGCACCCTCGTCGTCTCCTGCACCTCCTGCCCCACTCTCAGATAATTCGGCTTCCCATCTTTCCCCCGCGGCCAATGTACCTCCCCGCCGGCCCACATGCGGCGCGTGAACGGCGACGCAGGGTTATACGAGGTGTCGGTGCCGTCCGCGCCGAGCTCATTTTCCAGGAATGCGGGGGTGAAGTACACGAGGTGGTAGCCGGCGGGTAAGGGCGTGCCGGTGGGCAGGGAGGTCGGGGTGTTGGATAAGGATGGGGAGTTGGGGAAGAGGGAGGGTCGGTTGAGTGTTAGGGAGAGGAGCTGGAGTTGGTTTGCGTCGAGGGTTTGGGAGCGGGTTTGTGGGCCGAGGGATTGGAAGCGCGTGAGGAAGGATGTTGCGATGGTGGATGCGGATGCGGAGGTGTTGGTGCGGAGGGCTGGGCGGTTGGAGAATGCGCGGGTGAGTTGCGGAGGGAGGGATTGCGGGCGGAGGAGGGAACGTGTGGAATGGCGGGCTATTGAAGGGAGGGACATCGTGATATGAGTTTTATTGTAATTGCGGAAGGTATGATGATTTGGTTTGATTGATGGTGGTGGAAGTGAGAGGGGAGCTTAACAGGGCGCTGTCTCGGAAGTGCTGGGGTTTTGTACCTCGGGTTACTGGGGTGGTTTCCGAGACCGAGATCGAGAGGCTATGTTCCGAGTAGCCTTTATGGTTCCGCCATTTAGCCGCCGCATTCTCTCGGTCTGCGAGAGATGATGCCGAACTCTGTTATGAAGATTTATGGTGCGGTATTACTGGCTTCAGCAGATCTCAAAAATACTTAAAGTGCTATTCGGTAGTTTATGAATAGAATAGAAATCATGTTAGGAAAGAGTTCTGCTACACCAGGTCATGCATGGGACACATTTTCTCAGAAGTCCCACTCGACAAAGTATTGAAAGAAAATATAGGCCAGTGATGCTTGAAAGATATATATATCGGGATCCGAAGATAGTAAGCAGTAGTTATTTTCCCCGATGGCGACAACAGTTAGAAAGAGGGAATCAATGACCCACGGTAGTAGTCATTTGAAAATCCACAAATATATGAACGTAATGTCTATGCCGCTTATATTCATGTATTGGTTGCGTAGGGATAATTAGATTTTCCGTAAAATTTACTACCCAAACCACTTGATAGGTGTCCAACGCGGCTGTCCGATAATTCTTGCCAAGAGGAGACTGCCAATACGATTGCCTAGTGTCACGCTGAATGCTCGCCGAACGGGTATGTTGACATGGGTACCCCACTTTTTGTTTCTTCGACTTTCCCCATAATAGTTGGTACAAAATAGTGTAAACCGATGACCTGTGAATTCTTTCAATACCGTTTATCAAAATTGCGACGATGATACAAAATCGATTTCTTTTTACTATATCGTTCTCTTCGAAATGGATATATATCTAGAAGGAAAACATCAAATGAGAAAGCAGCTGATAAGGCCCCGAACAGACATATCTAAATAGTACGAAGTGACTATATTTGAAGAAAAAAAAAAAAAAAAGAAGAAGAAGAAGAAGAAGCAATAAGAAGAGAAAGATTACAGGAAATACCGAAATACCAACATGAAACACGAATAATAAACAGAGAGTCTCAGACCAAGCAACGATGACGGCGCCTCTGGTGGTCTCGGAGGTGATCCTTCCTACCAAAAGATTGGCCACAAACTAAACAGGAATACGCATCTGGGGAGATATGGATTGATTTAAGATGGCGGACAAGGTCCCCTTCAGTGCTGAACCGTGTAGAGCTGGAACAGCCTCGCCATTTGCACTCAAAGATTGGTGGGCTATGAGCATTAGATGGGGCACGAGGGATTCTACTGCATAGATATTGTACCGTTAAATATGCCATGTTGATAGTAGTAGATGAAGCGGGCCGCATACCTTCCCGGAGCTGGGTGTGGCCGGTGGTTCATGGCGCTATTGGGGGCAACCCAGGTTGGGTTCGTGGCTGCATTGGTATCCGTCCAGTCTCCTGGTAGTCGCAGGGGCTGACCACCAGTAATACGAGTGGAACCATACAACAAATCAAGTGACTCGGCAGGGATCTCATCATAGGCAAAAGGCGCTTGAGCAGTCTGCGCCACACCGCCTTGTGGTGGAATGTTTCTGTCACTTGAAAGACCACCCGTCGGATTGACTGTCCAAACTGGAGGTTCAATACTACGGGGCGGACCAGCAATCGAGGCAAAGGCCCCATAGGAGTGATTTGCAAAGATGGAGGAGTCGGGCTGGGACACTGGAGCGGCTGATGACTGGGGAAAGAGGAATTGACCGATGGGGAGGCGATCTAGATGAGTACCAGCAGCAGTACTAGTAGTATCCTCTTGGGGCCCTGGGAATGAACTGGTCGGCCACTCCATGATGAACTCGGATGGGCAATGGTAATGGTGAAAGAGATGATTCAGGTTTCAATGAGTGCTTTGGTGTTTGGATTTGGCCAGAGGTCATTAGAGAAGGTGCCCTTTTATATGCTAGAAAGGGGCCTTCGTGCTGTGTGTTTCTGTATAGATGGGCTTAGGCTGGCACTTGTTGATGCATTCGATCATCCGGGATCTTAGTGACGGCACACGGTTTATCATCCCAAGATTTTGGACGAGACCAATCCCAGAGGGCAATAATCAGGCAAGACGCTAAACATGGCTGCGCTCCACCAGCGTCGATTTTTTATTCGTGCAGCCCCCTGGCAGGGCTAAAGAAGGTGCATCGAGATTTTGGAAACCGCCAATAGATGGAAGGAAACTGGCAGGGTATGTACCATCCCGCCCACGCCTTGATTCGTCAGGCTTACTGCTCTAGTGGTTCTAAGTGTACTTGGTCCCTATTTGGTGGACTAGGCTGATGTGCACCTCGCCATTCACTCCCCTATAAGTACCAGGCTGACTCCCACCGGAAAGAACGCTTTTCCTTCTACCTCTCAGGCACAAGTCCACAACATACAAACATGGCTGACGCCATCTGGGAGTCCTACCGGCCCGAGCTGGAGCGTCTCTATATCCATGAAGGCCAGAAATCAAGCGAAGTCAGGGAGTATATGCGAACTAAGTACGGGTTCGATGAAAGGTCAGTACAATCTTACCCTACTGCACCTACAGATACAGAGAATCCCATATCAAAATAGAAAGTCACAGTACGAAAAATACTTCAAGCGATGGAACCTGCGAAAAAATCATTCTCTGACCTCAGCGGAGGGCAAGTTCATCGGGCGCCGAATCGACAAGAGAAAGAGGGAACACCAGAAAGAGAGCGAAGTGTATGTCGACGGGGTTCAATATCCCCCCAGCAAGCTGAAAAAGTCTCGATACAATACAACCTTTGTTTCGACGGTGGATAACCTTCCAAATGGTCTGTTCAGCGTGTTCCCATATCATCCTGCTCACACGAATCCCAGGCAGCTAATAGAGTCTTAGCTCCTTCTCCCAGAACTCCAGAAGGAATTGTTGTCTGCACTCCTGCAACGCCGGGTATGCGGCTCATTTGGAAACACTCCCTTCCATGGTTGCAATTTTCCAAGCTGCTCGAGCCTCGACGAGACGATAGTATGTTCCTGGGGCTATTCCCCCCTCTTCTGCAAAACTGACCTGAACGGTTGTATAGATCCGTCGTCGCTACCGTCCGTCCTCTCTGTGACATCGCCACAATCCCCTGGTGCTTTGACAAACAACATCAACCGAGTCTTGATGCAAAGACTAGGTTCGATAATCCCTTGGAAGACGCTGTCTCATCCACCAAATATCAATAGCCTTTCCCGTATAGTGACGGGACTTAGTATTCTAATGCCGGAAGAGTTCGATGGCCAGCATCGTACCCTCGCCACAAGGTTGTGCAACACTCCACGAACGACAACTGAGAGTCTTAACTTGGAACTATTCTTGTTGTCTAATAATTTCGTCTCCCACTGTCCAACTGGCAAATACAAAAGCACTATGGCTGCTCATGACCGGAATGTGATGGAATTATTCCATGCATCTGGCTGGAAGAATATGAAGCACATTGAGATCTTGTTATCAACTCGAGAGCCCACCGCAGAGGCCATAGCAGAGAAATTGTTTGCCAGTGCGCTGCGACTCTTAGATCTGGACACTGTGAAAATGATGTTGGAAGCTGGAATGGACCCGGATAGTCGGGTCGACACATCTCACGATGGGCCTCTTACATGCTTACAATTTGCTGCTCAGATGGCGAGCCTTGGAATTGAGATAGTCGAACTTCTTCTGTCTCACGGGGCCGATATCAACTTATCGTACAACGACTGTCTCCCGCTTGAGTATGCACTCCGATGCAAGAATTCTGAGACAGTCAGGCTATTCCTGTCTCATAATGCAATTATCACGCCATCTTGTCTCGCAACTGCCGCAGAGATCAGCGATATGAATCTTTTCATTGAAATACTAGATCGAGTCACCGACGTGAATGTACCATACGATGGGGATGGTCTTAATCCTTTGGTGTGGGCAGTGGCGTGTGGCAATCTTTCGACGGTCAACCTCCTTCTCTCAAGAGGGGCAGATATAAATGCACTCTGTTATATTAAGTTTGACAAAGGCTTAAAAAAGACTACAGTCTTGGGCTTTGCAGTCCGAAGAAAGAATTTGGCGGTTATTCAGGCAATGCTCCAGTCCGGTGTCAACGTTGATCCCAGACTAGTTGGGTTTCCTTATGTTTCACCTCTTACCCTCGCCGTTGAGGCTAAAGATACAGAAATAGCCCAACTATTACTTAACGCGGGTTTTGGCATTCAATCTGCATCTGAGGGTTGGGGACTATCACTCCTTGAACGTGCTCTCAAGCAGAAAGACATGAAGATGAGCAGATTTCTGATAGAGTGTGGCGCTCAGACACACATGCTCTATTCGAATAAACAGCAGAACTCTTCAGCTCTCTTCCTTGCCATCCAGAACGGTTATAACGACATTGTTGATATGCTAGTCCAAGCAGGTGCACCATTGAATGAAGTCTACGGTGATGCGCCTGGAACAGTGCTTGCAGCAGCTATTGAAAAGGGAGATTTAATGCTCATTCACATGCTGGAGTCCGCCGGTGCTACACTAATTGGGCCAAAGCTCCGAGGAATCGGAAACCTGGAACTCGCAATGTATCTACAAGAAAGGGGTGTACTCGAAGACATCCTCGAAGTATGTGGAGGGAGAGTTCTGACCCGTGCAATCTCTACTGGAAAGCCTGGATTGGCGCACTGGCTACTTGCTTATCGTCTTAATGTCGACGGACATCCCACTATGCTTGATATGTCTGAGCATTCAGAAACTCCGTTGCAAGCCGCAATTAAAGCAGGATCCCTTTCCTTCGTGGAGATCATCATGGCACGTGGCGCCAGAGTGACCGACTGTGACCTTGCTGCAGCGGTGCATGTTGGTGACATTGATCTGCTGAGCCACCTTTTGGCCGGTTTCGTTGGAAGAGCACCCACCGCGATCGGATATGCGATTGTAACGGGTGAAAAAGAAGCTATAAAACTCATACTCGATGCAGGTATCGAACCAACGGGGACACCGCAAGAATTTCGCCAGGGATGGTACAACGAAGAGGATGCCGACTTCGCACTCGAGGACCCGCAATCAGTCCTTGAATTAGCGGCACAACAGGATGACAGGTCAACTCTTCAGATTCTTCTCCAATATAGGGTCTGGGACAGTCAGATTATCGGCCGTGCATTGACAGTGGCAGTTGTCTGTCAACACACTGGGCTAATAGATGATATTCTGGAGCAGGTGGTGGACATGAATCAAGAGATCAAGATTTACTACTACGACTGGGTGAACGAGAATGGTGAGGAAATACCAGAATGGTGTGAGATTCTCACTCCTCTACAGGCTGCAGTTAAGAACCAGCTGGTGTCCATAGCTCAACGGTTAGTTAAAAACCCGCAAACCAATATTGACTACTTAGGGAAGGGCGCGGGTGGACGCACGGCGCTACAACATGCGGTGAACAACGGAAACATGGACCTGATCAACCTCCTTCTTGACCACGGAGCCAATGTCAACAGTGCACCATCAGAGGATGGCGGAGCCACCGCTTTACAGATTGCCGCCATTCAAGGCTACCTAGGAATTGCTCGCAAGCTCATCGACCTAGACGCAGACGTTAATGCTGCTCCTGCAGAAAATTATGGCAGAACAGCCTTGGAGGGAGCGGCAGAGCACGGTCGAATTGACATGCTTCGGCTACTTCTTGACGAAGGAGCATCGCTGGTAGGCAATTATGGTGAACGGCAATATCGGCGTGCTGTGGAATTGGCTGAGAAGAATGGGCAAATGGCGGCCGCGAAGCTTTTGAAATCGTTCAAGGATAAGGTGGAAGAAAGTGTATTTGAATTATGTTGACTAACTATCTACGAAGGACTTTCCGGTATTATATGTGATTGATGTATTGTTTTGATGACTTAGAATGATCGAATTTGTCTGTTTTCATTTCATTTCCTCGTCCTCGGGATCGAGACACACTGTAAGGGTTATCTATCATATAGCGCCAATGGGATCATCTCAGCGATTGATTGACTAATGGCCCACTACACTATCTACATGTCCCTGTTTTGGAAAATAATTGATCAGGAGCTTTGTATGGTACCTTTCAACGCTGCTTTTCAGAGGATATCTGGTATTACTCACTAGATCATATTAATATAATGCTAGTATGCGCAGAACTCTATTCGAGTTTCACATTTCACACACGCTTAGTATGTACCATGAAAATCATTGATGTAGTATTCACAACAACTACAGCACATGAATTTAAACAAGATGACACTCGTCTACTAACAAGATACAGCGTTATAGATATCGACACTTATCTAGTATCCAGAAACTACTGACTGGACCAGCTCACAGCTTGGCCTGCCCAGCCTGTAGTCGGTCCCAATCCTTCGCCTCAAACGGCACATACTGGTTCCCCTGGAGCCAATACATCCGGTCACTCGCCGGAACCAGCGCAGGATCCACTCCTTGTGTCCGGAGAGTATGTTTCTGCTGCTTGTTATTTCCCGTAGCCTGCATCTCAGCCGCGATTCGGAGAAATTGTGGAGCAGCAAACCGCGGAAGATTCTTCACCACATGTGCGGCGAGGCTGTTTAGACTCTCTTCAGATGGAGGGAGAACTACAGTCTGGTCCTCAGAGCGTGTCTGTTGCTGAAGAACAATGGCGGCGCAGCCAGCACGACCGTCATGGTTTGGCAACGCCACTCCGTAGACGTTGGCTTCGTGTACGTCTGGATGCACGCCCAGCACCTCGGCCACCTCGCTGGTGGACACGTTTTCGCTCTTCCATCGGAAGGTGTCACCTAGACGGTCGGAGAAGTACCACCGACCGTCTTTGTCCCATCGGATCAAGTCTCCAGATCGGTAGT